CTCGGTTCGGCCCCGGTGTAGCTCCCTGTGCACACGGTGTGCGCGACGCGGCCCCGGAGCTCGGGGCGCTCCGGCGACTGGAGCGCCGAGACATTGGGATTCTGCGTGCCGCTGCGGAACTCGGCCCCCCGCTTTTGCTCTTAGAGTTAGTGACAAAGTTTGGGCAGAAACCCCCTGGCTGCCTCCCGCCGAGCTCTCTACAAGCCCGGGGACACCTCCGCACTCCGGAGCGCTCCAAGGGCGCCGAGCGTAAACTCCCCATTCGGCCTCGCCAGCCCCATGTGGCCTGTGACTTTTCCTTCACAGAGGAAATAATAAATCATTCTGACCATGCAGTCAAAGAAGATACGTCGGTTTTCCCTGGGTGTGTGCCACGGGATGTCTCCGCTGTACTAGATCTGTGGGCAGGGCAGTTCCGTTTTTATTAGGCCCCAAGCGACGTTCCCCCATCACATTGCTATTGACGTCCTCAGAAATTGGGGTGATGCTAGGGGTGGGCGGGGGGGTGGGGTGGGGAGGAGTGGATTCTTGTATCAAATTTGATTAAATACTCAACCTGCTTTAGGGTTTTACAGATGAGGTCAAACGATTGACTCCCAAAGAAAACACCATTTTTGGAATTTTATTTTGTCTTGGATTCCTTTGTGTGTATGTGTGTGTGATTTTTAAAAAAATTTAATCCTTTTATCGACATAATTCAATTTTAATCATTTTATTGACATATAACTCACATTTCATACAACTCAATGGCTTATATATTAAAAAGTTGTGCAATCGTCACATTTTAAAACATTGTCTTCATCCTAGTACTCAGTAGTTCCCCACTTTCCCCTAATCTCCCTTAAGAAACTATTGATCTAGTTGCTGGCACTATAGATTGACCTACCCTGGATTTCATATAAAGAAAATAATGCCAATTTTTTAAAAAGCTCATTCCAAAAGAAAGCAGAAAATAAATATAAATAGAACAAATTTAAAACAGGTCAAAAGGGAAAACAAAGGATACAGTGTTAAATTTTAACCTAACTGTATCTGCAAGGCTATTCATATCCTTTGTCACTGGTCGGGATTCGCTGAGGCTTAATCTATGTGGGGGCTCTCTAAATGGATTTTGGAATTTCATTGTCATTCATTTTTTTAAAAAGCCCTCCCTGCCATCACGTGATCAAGAGGATTCCAACTCATAGTGATCCCTGTGGGTTCTGGAGTCTATAATGTATCAAGGAGGTTGAAAGCCTTGTCTTTGTTCTGGAGCAGCTTGAACAGCTTGCTTACCTTGTAATTAACAGCCCAACACATAATTGGCAAACCAGGTGCTCAGGATTGTGGCTCCTAAAATGTAGACTCTAATACAATTCCTTCCTCCAATCTTGGATTTTATTATTTACAATCCTTGGCTCACACAGGCTGATGTACTTCTGCATATGATTTAGTTAACACCTTACTTAGAGGACTGTTTATTTTAAGACAAACTTTGAAGACCTCAGGTACTATTCTTTCTGGTAGCTGGCCACCCACTGTTTTCTTCCGGCTTGAGTTCCTTTAATCACTACACTTTTTTTTTTTAAGATAAAGAGGGAAAGGTTTTTATTCTATTAAGTGATCAAAGAACACAAATCCATAGCTCAGCTTCATCTGTAAAATGGTGCAATTAAAATAGCCTCAGATATTGAACAATGAATGGGCGATAGAGTGCCTGTGTAGGTGATAAAGCTTCGAGACAGGCCACGCAGCACAGGAAGCTGAATCCCAAAGGTCCTGAAAAACTCAGGGCTCTGGGGTAAACAGAGAGAGCAGTGCATTCCTTGGGGGGATTAACATCTATGGCAATGAGTTTCACATTGCTGAATGATGGTCATTGGAAACTGTCCAATGCCACCCCCTTCTCCACTAGGGGACATACCACAGTTACTGTAAGTTTGTCTTTGTACTATTTTGGGTCTCTTTTGCACCCAGAGAATCCTTCTAACTTTAAAATATTGTGTTTCTGCCATTATTTTTCAGTGAATCTTACAGAAACTTCTCAGAGAACAAGACAACTTGAAAAGTGACTTAACTAGGATGGATTTCGTTTCAGGCAAGATAACTCTTCAAAGAACCTTAGTCCCATTTTCCAGAAAAGAAAAGAATTCATAACATCACTAGTAGAGTTCAGCTAATTTTCTCCCTATGAGGAAATTCAGGACAAAAGAGTTTTTTGGGTTTTTTAATGCACTGTGAAAGGGGTGGATAATTGACCTTGAATCCTATGGGTTTATGCAGCTTTTTGGAATAATACAGCTTTATCTTGGTTACCAGTTAGGACAGAAAAACATTTTGAACTTCAATGTTCCAGCGAGGCGCCCTGGTAGCATAGTGGATTATGTACTGAGCTACTTAACCGTGAGGAACAGCACCAAATGACCAGCGGACCTGTGGGAGAACGATGACGCTTTCCAGTAAGAGTTACCATCTCACCTGACATCTTCTCCCTAGATGACAGCGCTAAAGAGGACTGCCCTGAAGATACTGCTCAGGAGAGTTCTGGTCTGACCCGCCCACAGCGGGGGCAAACCAAGAGAAGAATGCACCAGACCAGTGATGGAAGCAAAGCCTCCAAGCAGCAATGGGGACGTTTCGGATGCACGCCTTACAGACACGAATACTGAAGACGAAAAAGGCATGTGTGTGTGAGGTAAGTGGGTCCCAAGATATGGACCCTGAAAGAAAAGGGGACTGGACTGATGGATTACAACATGTCCTTCTCGCTATTTAACAGAGAGAGATTCATTTACGCTGTGTCAGGATTCCTGTTAGACTTGGAACTATTTGTATGGTCTTTCTTTCTTTCTTTCTTTTTGGTGTCTACACGAAATAGGCAGGATAGGCAATCCCAGGGAGACAGTAGCAAGACCAACCGGTGGGGGAAGGGAGCAGTGAGGCAATAATGATGGGGACAAGGGAATAATAGTAACAGTTCTGAAATTGATGGTAAGGAGGATGTAGCCTTTCTGGTACTGTTTGATCAATTGAATTGTATCTGAGAGGAATATTGAGATTCCCCTGAGGAATACTGAGGAATCTGAGAGGTTACTGAGAGGTGAACAATCGGTAAACATGATAGTGGGGCAGGAGAAAGAAGAAAGAAAAATATATAGCGAGAGATGTATATATGTAAATATATAAACATAGGTAAATTTGTTTATATATGTATATACATACAAATGGAGCAAGGAAGCAGATTGACTTCGGGCCTCTACTTAAATATTGCCTCAGAACAAGAACTGAACATTGTTCTAATAATGTGCCATTGTATGATACTCACCTTCCTGACACGATCGCTGAAGACAAAGTGGGTACATAAGCAAATGTAGTGAAGAAAGCTGATGGTGCCCAGCTATTAAAAGATATAGCATCTGGGCTCTTAAAGGATTGAAGGTAAACAAGCAGCAATTATTAGGGAAGCAACAAAGCCCAGATGGAAGAAGCACTCCAGCCTGTGTGGGTCATGAGGTGTTGATGGGAAAAGGTATCAGAAGTTCAAAAACAAGCA